GACCCTGCTCCCCTCCCCCGCTTCTGAGCGCGCTGCTCTGCAGCACAGTAAGGGGGCTGGGGGTCAGAGAAGCGGCAGGGAGGTTCTGGGGGGGCGGGTAGTCAGGGGACAAGGAGTGGGGGGGAGGGTTGGGGGTTCTGAGGGGGCAGGAAGTGGGAGGGAGTGGAAGGGGCAGGGGCGGGGCTAGGACAGGACGGGGGCGGGGCTAGGGCGGGGCTCCTATGTTGAAATATGGTAACCCTAACTGAGTGGTGAATATATTCTGTATAGAGGTATGTTTAGCATGAATTTTAAAAGCTTTTATTTGGAAATGTGTCAGTCCACACCAGTATTTTATTTACTTAATTTTGCAAAATGAGACAATACATTAGCTGGGAAGTTAGCATTTCACAATTCAAAGATAGGAATAGACCATCTAAAAATAGCACCAACATTAGGCACTTACAGCACAGACTGATACCAAAAGTAGGGTATTATAATGTGCTATTTATTCTAACTCTCTTTACAAAATAAACATATATTTTTCTATATCAGCAAAAGAGCAATCATTTGTAAAAGAGAATCTTGAAGCACATTTATAATTAGCCAGTCATGTTTAGCTCTTAGGTCTGTTATTCTACAGAGGCTGTATGTGTTTTGGATTTAAGTTGAAGTGGAGTGCAGCAATATCAATGTAACACAGTAACGTGTTACTAAAAGTGTCCAAAACTGTTCTCAGAAGATGGTCACTAAATTACAGCAATGCACAATACTGCTTACAAATTGTGGACCTGAAGTTACAGTCCACGTGAAGGCAAAAGTCCTATTGGAATCCATAGGAGTCGTGCATGCATATTGTCTGAAGGTAGATGTGTGTGTGTGTGAGAGAGAGAGAGATGCTTACAAAGTTCAAACATTTAAAATTAGTTTGATGTTTGTTTTATTGGGGTTATTAACCATATAAATGCAACTGACAATATAATGTATAGATGCTATTGCTCACATACATGTAAACGTGTGACATAACTTTCTCTTTGTTATTGTCAACTTTTTGGTTACATGGCATGAAAATCATTGTCTGGCTGTTACATTTGCTGATTACGTAGCATTTTACTAAATAGTGGAATGAAATATAGCACTATCCTATACAATATTCCTGCTGCAGAAATCTGCCATAAGATTTATAGTATCTGTTTTGCCAGGTTTAAAGGTAATAGCAACAGCTACACAATGTAGTTCTTAACATTCAGTTGTGTTTCAAATGGAAGACATGAGCCTGCACATTATTTACAAAGTCAAAATATTAAGTGACTACAGTGACTTCCACTGCACAATTTCTCAAATGTTTACATGCACAGTGTATACTAAAAAATTGCTCCATAAATTACTTTATGTATTTTGTGTGCTTTTGTCTTTATGGCATATATACATGTGTGTATATATACACACATATGAATGTGTGCTAATATATTAAAAACTTAAATATAATCTGACAATGCTCTGTAATGGTCCCAAGAGCATGCTATTGAATGAGACCTGGCTGAATTTCTTTCAAAACATCCTATCACCCAAACTGTATAAATAATTGGAGGGAACAAATAATGATAATTCTCTGAGAGTTTTGGCATAGTGGAGTTTCTCTGTACTCTGACATCACCAATGCCACAGTGACAGAATGCATTATGATGTGACACAGTTCAACATGAATTGATGTCTCTAGTAAATTCTGTTCTCTTGACCTATACTCCCTCATTTAGGGTGTCTATCCTGCCGTGAGAGATCTAGTTACCCCTGGTGTAGACCAGATCCATGCTAGCTCCAATTTAGCTAGTGTGGCCAACAATTGCAGTGAAGGTATAGCAGAGTGGGCTCTACGAGCTTGTCCATCTCACACTGTTTTCATTTTTATTGTAACTTTGTAACAGTATTATTTGGTTCTCATAGCATTGTGGGATACAGTTTGCATGAAGACATGATACAAAATCAAACTCTATAGAATTATATACAAGCAAAGATTTCTGCTCGAATATTCTGAAATTTCCTCAAGGCACGACAAACATTTCCATTCAGACTGCATACTAACATTGCCCTAATTCCTTCAAGGGAAGCTGCCATTCAAAACTTGGATCAGCAATTATCCCTAATTTACACTCCTCAGCCTGCCAAAGACTCAACAAGGGCAATTATCTTCAAAATGTGAGTGGATGAAGCAGCATAAAAGGTTTATAAAAACAGAAACCACCACAACTACCACCCCAAACTGTATAGAAAAAACATCATGGAATGTTTATAATGCTGATATAAAATAAACACAGTACAGTGTGGGCAAAGGGAAAGAAAAACGGATCTAAAATGTAGGTTACTTGCACTTTCTCTAAAGGAAGATGAAATAAAATGACCTCCGAGACTCCATCTACGGTCAGCAAGACTCTATACAGTGATTGCTGCCAAAATCAGTTGCTTCTTGATTTACACTTCTGCAGTCTCATAGGTTACAGTAGCTACTGTTACTCTCGGGTTGTTGTTCTGTCTAAAAATACTGTTTCTAAATTCCAAATTCCTCTGGGTCTTTACATACATTAAACTGTAGCTCTGTATTTTTCCAGTTCTGTCCATCTTTTACGTGCAACCAATGAAGTAAGGTAAAGATCTTGATGCTCGGGTTTTGTTTACCTGTAAGATTTGGTCATGGCTAGACACCACAAAACTCAAGTAGTCCCAGTGTGACTTGATCAGATTTTCAGCATAGTATACTGTGAACCTTCTCACAAGCTGTCTATATAGTAGTTGCCACTTTCCACTTTTAGACACTAAAGGTTAATACCTCCAGCTTTCCTTCCCTCTTTCAGAAAGGCTTCTCCTTGCTGCTTGCAAAGCACACTGTCTAAGAGCCCCCTGCACGTACAAACACACAGCTCTATGCCAGCACTGATACGAAATCATTGAGCTTGAAAAGCACTGTGCATAATGACATGTAAAAGGATACACCAAGCATTACACTTTGCTTCTAGAATTCCTATACTCTGTGCTGCCTCACCATATGTCTTTCAGAACTGAAGTCAGAAGTGTCAACAGGAGGATAGAGTTGGCCTGGGAGCAAATTGCTCCTGTTTGAAAAGGCTGCATATTGTAGCACTGTTGGAAATGCTGATTTAAAAGTAAAGCAAACTGCATACCCAGTGTCAGAACAGTGCCACTTTAGATTCATGGAAGTAACCTGAAAAATTTGTTTCTGCACTTTATTCATTTCAGCAATGTGTACTGCAAGCCATTGCATGGTATTTGATTATGTTGTACTGCCTGTGCGTCAACAGAATGTATATCACATCCCTCCTGCAATTGTTATCAAGAGCTGAAAATGTAACTCTCCTTGTCCCTTATATTCAAACAAAAGTATTGCATTACATGTATTCCTGCTAATACACAATTCAGCAAAACAGGTAAGAGTCTCTCTCTCTGTCTCAAATATTTTCTGCTCTTTAGTAATCTAAAAGTATTGTATAAATAGAATTGGCCTATGGTAATTCAATACACCTTGACATAAAATCAGGAAGCAAAGCTGAAACCATGAAAGGGAAAAGCAGAGGGTGAGTTACTATTAGACTTAAGGCCAAATGTGTGCTTCATTGGAGTCCAGCTAACACCCAAAAAGAAATTAATATTTATAAGATAAAAATGCATCTTTTAAAAATCCAAATGTTGGACTCCTGGAAGCGAATAGTTATGGAATCAGCCTGTTCCTCAATGACACATAATCCTTCAGCACTTACTAATATCCCATCTAACTTATATGGCTCATCCAACCTTAACATTGTTTCCTAAAATGTGGAAAAATATACACAAAAGTCAAAATAAATTTCTAGGAGATTATAAAATGTATTAGCTATTCAAGGGATCAATTTCTTGTATATTAAAATACTAATATCTACACCTCTACCTCGATATAACGCTGTCCTCGGGAGCCAAAAAATCTTACTGCGTTATAGGTGAAACCGCGTTATATCGAACTTGCTTTGATCCACCGGAGTGCGCAGCCCCGCCACCCCGGAACACTGCTTTACCGCATTATATCCGAATTCGTGTTATATCGGGTCGCGTTATATTGGGTAGAGGTGTACTATGTTAGAAGGAAGCTACCTATGTTAGCTGCTAC